GAGAGGCCCTGAATTCTACAAGAGATAAGGGCGTGCTAACATGTGCTATTCCCTTGGTAACCAGAAGAAAAAAAAGTTAAACTTAGATTCACTTCTTTAGGACCCACCTTTACTCCTCCCTAGACCATCCCTGTATTTCCTTGTATGGGTATGATCTGATTACATTTGTGGATGACTATAAAATCTTTGTTGCTTGCTTTGCAAGGTGTGGTTCTAGGCAACACGCTTGCCACGGTGTTGACTGAGCCATCCAGAATGTTTCTTGGCCAATAAAACTTCTGTTAGCTAATGAAGCCTCGTCTCAAGTTTATTTGGCTCTAAAAACTTGGGTAATAGCAAAAGTGCCTTACAGTGTTATGTGAAAGCTTCGGCGGATTGAAGCTATGATGGATGGTGGAAGTCAATAGCCATGGGCCCATCTGATGATGGCGTCTCAAAGAGTGTAACTTGGAATGTAAGAGGAGTAAGTGGTAAAGGGCAGGAACGGGAAGGAAGTTGCACAGTATATCTGCGAAACCAAGGGAAAGAGGAAGGATAAAATAGATCTGAATGAAAGGGTCTGATTTTGTGGCATGAAGTGGGTGAATACATGCAGGGAAGTAAAGGTGTAGTTTTACTTGCAGACAAAAGAGCTAAATTCTACGTCAGAGATAATGAATTGAGGATATCTAGGTTTTTCTAAGTGTGAATAAAAAATAGGAATCCACAGGTGGTATTAGTTGCAGGTTAGGCTCTGGTAAATAGTGACAAGAGAAGAACCAGAAGTGAATTTTGAGAAAAAGTGTGTGTTTCTCAAAGAATGCTATTCAGGAAAGAGAGAGAGACAGGGAAAGAGAGCAAGTAATAGATAAGATTAAACTAAAGATGGTTTGCAAGAATACAAGATATGGAGAAGTTTAGTGCATGGTGTTGGTGTAAATTGGTTTCCTTTTCTTATCTCAAGCCTTTAATTTCTCTGGCATGCTATGTCTTATTTCTTTTCTGTGCTATGCACAATGTTGCTTCTCCTAAAAGGGAATGGTGTGATGGACGTGTATATAAATATGTATGCTAAAGAAACACGTTAGGGAAGCACTTATCTACATGTAGCTCATGATTACTGCGAGTTTGAACAGTGCGATATTTGATTTAGTGTGATATATAAATTGATACCAGGTCGTGTTTTAACGCGAGCCAAAATTCAGTGAGGGTGAGGCTAGCACACCCGCAGTCGAGGCCAGTGCATGCAGTTGCCGGTTTTAGATGCTAATCATCATTTGGGCAAACTGGAGAAAAGGAAATTTCTGTTCGAGGAATGCTCAAAGAAGAGGAGGCTAGTTTTGAAGAACTACGGAATACAGGAGATAGCAAGTGCACTTTGGTTATTGGTTTATCCTCTTTTACTGTTATACAGTATTCCGTTAATAAACATAGGAAAATTTAAGCTTAAACAATTTAATTGCCTATTTCCATCAAGCTGGAACCAATTACTCTATTTTCCATAGAAATATAATTTTAAATAGTGCAAATTCAAATAATGCACCCATTTTGTGGGACTCATTAACTGCACTAATTGAGACCTACCGGTACTTAAATAGTTTGCAAATCAGATGAAAGTTCCTGAAGTGGGTTTGAAAGGTTTCACAGTTGGTAGTTCATAAGTGTTTGAAAATTAACAGTAGCCTGAGAACTAAAGGAGACCAAATTATAGCAAATATTAATAACAGAAGAAAAAACTTTGGTCCCTGTAAAATATTAAAGGGGATATTGTTAAGTGCCACTTTTCACCCAGAAGAGACACTTAGGTTGAATCAATTATGCAAAGATGGCTGTTGTGTTCACCCTACACCAGTGCTGGCTGGGGAATTCTGGGAGTTGAAGTCCACTCATCTTAAAGTGGCCAAGTTTGGACAACACTGTCCTATATGGTTAACCAGGTCACTTAAAGATCTACAAGCATGTTATACTTGATTAGTGTTACTCTTGGTTACATTTTTTTGTGTCATAGTTCATGTGTGAACCCAACCTCTTTGACGGGTTCATGCTTCAATATATTGTGTGATTGCAGAAAATATATTAATTCAGTAAATAGGTTAAGGATGTTGTGTGATGTTTGCCCAAGGCCTTACAATCTAAATATTTCTTACAAAAAAGGGAAAATGTTTGGAAAGGGAAAGGAAAGAACACTTGGGTGGATCCTGAGGAACCCACCGGGCACTGCTGGAGGATCTGCGTGGAGATTCGGGAGAAGGAAGAACCTGCCGGGCCATGTTGAGGAAGCAGAGCGGTGTGTGGGAACGGCCTTGGAGAGAGGAGGAAGATAGGCAGATGAGAGCACCCAAGAACTGGAAGGGCCCTGCAGATCCATCCTCCAAACCCTGTGGGATTTGGACAGGAATCCAAGTCAAAGTATCCCCACTGGTGGCTGTCAGCCCCCGCTTGAAAATATCTAGAGAAGGGGACCCCAGCACCTCTCTAGGGCAGTGGACCCACACTTTCTGCTTACCCCATCCCCAGAAGAGATGAAGGCGCTCTCCAACCAGTCCTCTGCCCGTGTTTGGAAAATCTGCCATTTCCCATCCCAAGGGGTCTTAAGCTTTTCCAAGCAGAGGGGTTCTGGCACTTCGATCTAGTCACTGCCCCAGCTTCAAATGCCCGAAGTGCCTGGCATGTCCCCTTCTCTTCAGCAGCTGATCGCTGCCCTGGACAGCCACGCCATCCTGAGTTGTCACTCGGTGATGTTCTCTGCTTGCATACGTGGGAATGACCTTGGAGACAGGAGGAAGAGCCGCAGACTAGGCAGATAAGAGGCCGCTGAGTCCACAGAAGGAACGGGGACGAGGCAAAGGTCGCAGAAGGGACCCTCCCCAGTGTCTTGGCCTGCAAAGGCGCTGGGGGGCAGAGATGTTCTTTCGGACATGCAGGATTCCGTTAACGGAGCCTCACGATCACGCTAGAGCTAGTCTTCTGGGCGTGCTTCCTGTCTGGACTACCGCGCAGGGCTGGCAGGAAAGGAAAGGAAAGGAAAGGTGGCTGGAGCAGGAGCCTGACGGGTCTGGCAGTGCCCCCCCCCTCGGGGCCGGGAACAGGCCCTTGTGCTGCTAACTGGACCGGGGGGTGGGGGGGGGCGGCGGGCAGCGCATTTGGGCGGGAGCGGTTCTTCCCCCCCGCGGGGCGGGGATGCCCGCCATATTTGAAAAATGTGACCGAAAAGTCTTCTGGGAAATCTGGCGCGCGGGGATGATGGGCACTGGAGTCCCCCCGCCGCCCGAAGGGCCCTCGGGCGCCCCGGCGACGCTCCCCCCGGAAAGGCCCGGCGGGCCCGTCGGAGCCGGGCGGGGGGCCGAGGCGCCGCCCCCCCCCCCCGGGTCCAGTTAGCAGCACAAGGGCCTGTTCCCGGCCCCGAGGGGGGGGGCACTGCCAGACCCGTCAGGCTCCTGCTCCAGCCTCCTTTCCTTTCCTTTCCTTTCCTT